GTATATTCCCTAATGGGTCTGATGTGAGACATGTCCTAGATTCCATCATGATGGAGGCACGAGGGACATTGATGTATTGTAGAAAACGCGGGAGGACAGAAGGGATTGATGGCTGAGGAGCCCAAAGAGACGGAGGAGCCAGTGGAGCCAGAGAAGATGTAGTCTGACATACACAGTAGCGCATTAGTATATAGTAGTAGTACTATGGATTGTATTTTATTTTCACATCATGCTACTTTATCGTTATTATCGACTTTATTTATATATGACATATTTTGTAAATATGGATTTATGTAGGTCATTTTTTGCATTGAAATTGTATGGTTTAAATCTCGTCACATAACATGGTATATAACGCTTATAAATCTACATCTAAATATGCGTAAACAAAACATAACATAAACTATTCTGTTCTGATAGGTTACAGAGATTTATCTTCATAAAATAAACAGAGATGCGTCTCTGGTACAATAAACATGTAAAGTGACTTCTGAGTGTGATGCATGGTATCCGTTTTAAATTGTTATAGAGATACATCTCTAAAATATTCTAACTTTTAATTAGAATTTGGTGCGTCTGGAGATTCATCTCCAGAATCTGAGGGGTATTTTAGTATTTTCGCATGGTGTTTAAGCAACATATAAGGTGCATTAATAAATTCCTAAATATAAACCACACATTGGTCTGAGTGTGAATACATGGACTGGACATGGAACATATCGATGAAAGTGTTCTACTTGCTTTGGGAGCAACGGTGGGTCATGTGAAAGTCAACGTCTAATAATGGTATAATTGCAATAAACTCAACACTGTTTTGAAAGTCTTAAGTTCAATTCACACCAAGTAATTTGATGTGTGTGAGACAAAGAACAACAACAATCAGACAAATCACCTCGAAGAATAAGATATAATATGCATACATATGTTCTTTGTCCTTTTAAGTTAGCGAGCTTTTATTTTTGTCCATGTATTTTTTTTTTGAAATAGTCATTGAATGTTAAAATCCTTTTAGTAATAGTCTCTGACATTAAGTTTACGTTACAAAAACATTAGTGGAAAACGTTTTTGGTCCCACACACCAGCAACGTAACCTAGGAGGACAAAATCCAAAAAAAAAAATTACAAATTCATTTTCTTATTCCTCAATCCATCTCCAACCTCGACCTCCATTTCCAACTTCTACTTTTTCATCTCGAACCTCTAAAATTTTCCTCAATATCCAACCTCCATTTTTTCCTCATTTACAACATCCGACCTCCATTTTTTCATCTCCAACCTCCATTATTTACTCGTTTCCAACCTTCAACCACCATTTTTTTTCATTTCCATCCTCCAACTTATTTGGACATAGAAGCTTAATTGCATTATATTTGGACTGAGTTCTATTTGAAGCGATTTGCCTTTAATATTGTGTACCATAGCATAGTTGTAGAATTATATTCAACACAAACCAAAGATTTATAATGTTAAATTGGGAATAAAACTAATCAATTATTGCTAAAGCACTCCATGGATGTACCGTTCTAAGTATGAATGAAAAAATATAACACTAACAATCATAAACTATAATAGAAGGAGAAAAGCAAACTTAGAGCCTGATTGATGAGACAGTAAGCCCCTCAGGAGAAGCCCTCGGACAAGACTAAGTCTCCTGGGTAAGAGTTTAATCGCATCCTTTGGGTGAGACTTTATGTTAGATCTCGCCCGAGAAAAACGGGACTTAGTATTTTTTTTTCAAGAATGTGTTTGAAGACATTTTAACATTAACATTTCGACAGCATCGGGTACGTCGTACTGGCAGTTATTTGGGTGCGCAGATGTTTTGTTTAAAAATAAGTAACTACTTCTTAGTTTCATCCTGAAGGACACGTGGAGGGAATGCAGAAGCGGAGTGCATGCAGACTTCTATGTAGCAAAAGTTGAAGAAATGAACTTTAGGGAGCAATTATTTCATATTAGTATAAATTAGGATTCCATGTGTAGGATTTGGTGTGTTCATTTCATTACAAAATCTCACTTATACTCAAAGTACAAGCGTTAGATAAATGAGTTTCACTGAGAGAATGTATGAACCTTGAAACACCACTTTTATTTCAATTCAATGATTTCATTTCAATCTACATTTTCTGCCTAGTTACTTTCTTCTTTTCTTTAACTGCATTGTTCTTTATCTTTCCTTTACAAGATCTTTACATTTTAAACAGTCGAAATTACAATACGATACTTCTTTCTACAATTCCTTCGACTATGTCGAAATCTTTTTCATTTCTATAAAACTATAAAGGAAAATCTTTAGCACTATGTCATAGGATTCTTTAGTTGATCCTACAAATAACCTTTAGTAAGAGACTAACGGTTGTTTACCAATTTTCTGTAAATAAATTGGCACGCCCACTGAGATCTGTGCTAAAACATTTATCTTTTATAGATATTTCTTAGTTTTCTCTTATGAATTATTCTGAGTAGTTTGTATGCGATTAAGAAGTGAAAAGTCTTTACGCAAGATGTCACGTCCTCCTATAGATAACATCAATTTATAGAATAATCCCCGAAATGTAGTGGAGCAACCATCCGGGTCGACGGTTGAAGAGCCAATTATTTTAACACCTGTTATGACAACGACCCTAGTGGTGTCAACAGTGCCAGTCACACCAGTATTGACACGGGGGGAAAACCCCCACCGCAGCCAAGAAATACTCTTTTCAACCCTGTAGTTGCAAAACTCTTATTAGAGTTCTCAATGCTAATGAGCGATAGAGATTACCTTATGTTATGCCAACGTCGATGATGTTTAACCTTTATACTTATATGTCAATGTTTAGTGACAATGCAATGACCACTGGGCCATCCTACAATCCATATAACGTCTCGACTTTGACCATTAACAATATGGTTCGACCAGGAGGGATAAGTTATATCCCTCAAACAATTCCATCTTTAAATATTACCTCTATGATGGCTATGAGGTAACAGATGGATGAGAGTAACCTAAAATTAGTTAATACTCTTAAACAAATGGGAACCATTTTTAACCATTTGATTACAAACACAAACCAAACCTATGAGTTATTGGAAAATCAAATGGGTCGAATTTCTGACTTCTTTGGCACATCTCAAGTTCAGGAACGACCAACCCCTCAGATAAAAAATATTGGACAGGTCGAGACATCTAAAAATGGGATGACACATGCCAATGTAGGTCAGAACCAAGGTTTTCGACCATCAGAACTTCTCTCAAATAGGGAAGAGGAAGAACACATAGGTCAGCATAACCTCAGGCCTTTGGTAATCAAAAGAAACTAAGATCCTGACCAGGTGCTTAGACATGTCCAACAAAATAACTTTGGGGGACATAATATAGAAAATGTGGTCGAACAAATTTTGGACCAAAACGTCCTTAACGTGGGACTCCACATGTCTAACTTCATATCTCCTTTTCCAGAGTACGTTCGACAAACAGAGTTGTTCAGGGGTTGGAAATTTCCTATATTTACTAAGTTCGTTGGAGACACTAGTGAGTTGACAATTGAACATGTTGATAGGTATCAAACCGAGGCTGGCAAATCGAGAATAACTAGAATTTGAAAAATGAAGTATTTTTCAAATTCTCTAACAAAAAATTCTTTTACCTAGTTTACAACAATCCTTCCACACTCTGTTCAAACATGAAGTCAATTGGAGAGATTGTTCCAAGAAGAATTTTACATGGGACAGTCGAAACTAAGTTTGAAAGAGTTGGCTAGCGTTAGACGAAAAGTCTCTGGGTCAATTAATGATTACCTAAATATGTTTAGACTTCTCAAGCAAAGTGCTTCACTCAAATGCCTGAACATGAGTTAGTCGAAATGAATGTTGGTGGCCTTGACTATTCAATTAAAAAGAAGTTAGACATTCAATATTTTAGGAACATGGCACAGTTGGCATATAGGATTCGCCAAATCAAACGTTTAAAAAATAAGAAAGCAATAACAAATAAGTATCATAAAAAAAGAAAAAGTTGTGTATGTATAGGCATATGATTACATCATGTTTTGGTACTTCTCTAAAAGTAAACAATTTTGGCATCGAATAGTCAGGTTAAGCATTTCTTCATAATGTTGGATGCATGATGTCGAATATTGCTTGTTATACAATTTAAAAAGGATGTACTGATTGGACAAGTATTTTTGGTCAAACTTGTTCGTATTGGCTTTGGGTTGATTGTGGATGGATTAGAATGATAATAAATTCAACAATTTTAAAACTTTAGTGGACGTTTTGATCGGAAAATCTAACCAATAGAAGACTTGCATTGTTCAAACCTTAAATTTGTGTTAGAGACCTATTATCGATTTTCAAAAATAGTTAGTAACATGCATATATATTGAGATCCTCTTATTAGGGGTTGTTTAAAGTTGAATAGGGGATGGTGTTGTGACAAATACTTGAGGTAGGGTGTGACAGAGATGGCTTTTAATCGATGCTTTAAATATATTGATGTTAAATTTGGCTCAATGGTTGCTATGAATTTGATTCATTATGAGTGTATGATCCATATACTACTATTGATGAAATTCTAAGTTTTTCCTCCTTTATAAGGAGTAAACAACAAGACAGTAACACAAAAATCTATCTATTTTAGTAGAAGATGCTGGAGGAAAAAAATCTTCATTTACATTATTCTCATGCTATGAATCAACATTGAATACAGTTTGATCAAAAAGAGAAACATAACAGAATCACCAAACCAACAATAAGGCAAACTTGAAAGCATAAAATGGCTACTATACAACCAAGAAGAGCACCAAGAAATATTTGAGATGGACTGTGACCAAGATGTTCCTTTAGCTTCCTTGAAACATGTCAGCCACAATCATATTAAGCACCTGTATCTAGCCCCAAAAAGTCAGATTGGTGCAGAAAATGCATGAGTGTGCATGCAGATGAAGAAAGATTGAATACAGTTTGCACCTATGAATGAGAATGACAGGAAATAGTAAGGTATTGAGTAGAGTTTGCACCTAACGCAGTAGCATGAAACCTAGAGAGCATAAAATGGCAGCTGTAGAACCGAGCAGTGCACCAGTTAAGACTTGAGGTATGGTGTCACCAACATCTTCTTGTAGCCTCTCTTGATTAACTGGAACCCCTTGGAACACTATATCCTTAAGCTTATTAACCGTCTGTATCCAACGGCACCCGAACATGATTTTCAGCTCAAAAGTTTTCAACAAAGTAACAAAGATTGAGTTGAAGGATGGAATAATACATACCAGTGCTTGGTGGCCAAGATGTCCTTTAACAGCAACAGCATCACACATGACAATGAGACCAAATCCCAAAGAAAGGGGAAAGAGGGAACCAGCAACACCATGAGAGATAGCAGCAGAAGTGGTGAGAGCGGAGCACAGTGCGGAGAAGGTAGAAGGCATTCCTTGAGAAGCAAGCATGAGTCTGAAATTCCATCGCCCGTTATTAAAGAAATTCAAGAAAACTTTGGTGGATTGCGTGACAAACAAGGCAAGCATGGCAGAAACAAAGGTTGGGTTGGAAGCCAATGTAGGTAGAAAAGAGGTAGCATTCTCCGTTAAAGCCAGTCCTAACCCTCCTCCGTTTTGCAAGTAAAAGAACTCTTGCCTGTTTTCATTGGAAACCCTCTCCAAAGCTAGCATGTTTCTGGTGCTTTGCGCCAAAGGGAAAGAAACCAAAGTGTGAATTGGTTGAGAAGAAGAAGAAGTGGAATTGGAGGAGGATGGAAGAGAAGAATCCATGAGAGAAATGAAAAAGATGGTCAAGAACACGTTAGACTGAAATTGATGAAGTCATCATCAGGTTATAAAGGGTGGAATTCTGTTATGGAAAGTTCTATGTGAAGACCTTCGGAACCATCCAGAATTTTTAATCTTGTTTTCTAACACTTTGTTTGGTTGAGGGTAAAGTTAGGGAAAAGAAACCACGAGAAAGAAAGCACTATCTACTAGTTGAAAACTAGAAGAAAACACTACCATTAAACTTTTGTATATATTACTATCATATTCATAATCATATATAGTCGTAAATATATATTGTTATTTTGATTAAATATTTTTTTTCCTCTCACTTTCTTTCCATTTTAAATCATACGAGACAATTAAAAGTTATTCTTATTTTCTATTCACTTTTAATTCTTATTATAGTATTTTTTTAATCAAATATATACTTTTAATCCTTTAACATTGTTAAAGGCATAAAGATTATTTAGCAAATACAATTACTACAAAAAAAATTGCTAATTGTCATGTGATATTCACGTCACAACATGTTTTTAGTGACGCACTCATTCATGTGGCAGGAGCACGTGCGACAAATATCTTTGATCAAATGAAGTTGAATGATACTTGAGACCCCCTATGCTTTGAGATTAGAGGGCATGCTTTGATAAATAGCCTTTGAAAATTAATAGTTGGCCATACCTTGACTAAAGGGACTCAAACCCTAGCTGAGGAGACAATCACTTGATGCTCTTGATTCCAAATCCTACCTTGCAAAAGAAATAAAATGGACAAGGCATACTCTTTGTATTTTGATTAATGATTAACATATGAGTACAAAAATGTAAAAGATATACAAAGAGGTGTTGATGATCTCTGCAAAGACAAACCCCAAAGATGAGATGGTTAGAAGACAATCAAGTTTGTGATCTTGATACATTGCAAAGATGTAAGTGAGGTGGTATCTTAGGGGTAAAAATTAGGGTACGACAGAAACTTATGTATTGACTTTACCTAGTGGTTTAATAATTCAGTTAGAGAACTGTTATTATGTACCTGCAATTAGCAAGAATATTATTTTTGTTTCTTGTTTGGACAAGTTTGCTTTTTCATTCATAATAAAGAACAATTGTTGCTCCATTTATTTGAATGATATATTCTATGCTACTGTGTCATACCCTAAATTTGTCCTACCCTTTTGTAGATGTTTTCGCATTTTATTGTTTCACGTCGTTTAGACACGTGTCCACCCGCAATTGGGCGTTTTCCAAATTTTATCCATTTCTGTCCAATTAAAGTGTGACACGTGGTGTAGGAGTTTTTTGTGACTATTATTTCTTTTTTTTAATTTCCTAATCTTTTTCTTTTAAAAAAAATATATTCCTAAATAATAATAAATATTTTGTATATATTTGTCAATTTTTATTTAATTAACTTTTTTTAACATTTATTTGTTGTTATTATATTTGTTAATATCTATTTAGTAATTATTGTTAATAGTTATATATTATTTAATTACATCCATGTTAATTTATATTGTTTTAATAATTAATTAATTTGAAAAAATAGTACAAAGAAAAAGAAAAAAATAACAGAAGAGTTTGGGCATGGAGAAGGGGCGGTAGGCCCATTGTTGTTTTGGTAGCCCGTTAGGGTTTACTGCTCTTTGTATTTAAACGAAAGGAAGACTGATAGAGGAGATCACTGTTCATCATCTGTTAAACCCTAGAAACGCAGAAAACCCTAAACCAACACTGTTCGTCTTCCATCCCTTTCAAAACCCCCAAAACGGCGCCGCACACCCACACGCGTAAACCCTAAACCGCCGCTAACAGTTTCAAACCCCTTCAATACTGGTGCAATGCTCAAACCACAACGACGAGAACCATCTCAGAATGATCCCGCGAAGATGCATTGGTGAAATCCTCAGTAAAAACTTCATCTTGATTTCGCAGCAACTCGGTCATGTTTCTGAATCGTTCTCATAAAAACAAGTCTTCGCCGATCGTTTACAGCAACCGCACTCATCGCCGGCAAAGTCGAACACGGCAGCAACGATGTTTGCCTACAACAACAATCTGACTTCCAGTTGGTTATGTTTATCTTCCTGTTACAGGCTCGGTTCATTATAACTTGTTGCTGAACTGCTTTTTTTTGATAGAATATTGCGATAATGTCATAGTGGGTATTTAGTTGTGTTGTATCATAGTTTGTTCGGTGTTGTTTTTTTTTTCATAGAAGCTCTTTTACATACTGATAACCTGATGCTATGGTGTGCTTGAACATAAGTTGTTTTGTCTGTTGATTACCATCAAATCCTGGTTTGTGTTCACCTTGAGGATAAATGTATATTTCAGGTAGATGAAGTATGGATAATAGTTTTAATGTGGTTTATGCTGAGAAGATAAGTTGATTGTAATCTGGGTGTAAATTCATTGTATTGGGTTGTACTGTCGGCATTATTTTTATTATCACAGGTCCTGAGTCTCTCTGTTTTTATAAAATCATGTGGTTGTCTGTGACTGGTTTGTATGCAGGTTAAGGTATTACCGAGTTTCAAATTGTGCGATAATAATATTGAACGGCATAGCAGCAGTTAATACCAGCAGCATTTGAACTCTGGAATGGAAAGTCGAGTAGCAGCAGTTGCGAATCCGATTCAAGTGCATCCGATGCAGCAACCGTGACTTCAAAATCCTACCCGGTTTGACGGCAACACAACTCGTTTCAGGTTTGAATGTCGCGGAAAGCAACTGTAAAGCTGAGCCAATTTCGACCGTGCCGTCCTTTCGTCGAATACTTATTGCGAATCCAATTCAAGGCCGCGACGTTGCCGACAAGTTCTGTTATTTTCAGTTTCCAATACAGTTTCAACATCAATATTGCAAGTGACGTTCGGTTTTAGAAGCAGCAACGCAAGTTCAAACAACATTTAACTTTGAACCATCAAACTCACACCTTTGATTTAAGTTTGGTTTATCCAGTTTGTCTTTGAAACTGCGGATTCGGTTTTCTTTTGTTGCTGTCTGTGATTGATACATATGCAGGTTTTGAATTGGGCGCAGGATTGGAAATGATCATACACAAGCAGTAGCACGTGATTGCGGTTATGCGTGTCGGTAATGGGTTCAACGATGTGGTTTGTTTTCTGCATAATACCAACTGTCTGTGTTAGGATTGTAGCTTCATGAGCTGTGAACGGTTAGATATTTTTGATATTACAAATTCTCTAGTTATGATGTTTTGTTTTCAGACCAATATTGAGTTCACTCTGTTCTGGTTTAAGTTTGAATTTAGGTTGGTTTCATTTTGCACAAACAGTGAGTGGATCTATGTTGGATATACAATACCATTCTGCATCTTGATATAGGTTTTGTGTAATTTCTATTGAAATATTTTATGATTCGATTGTTCGTAACAATGCCGTGTTCGTTTCCGTGTTGATCTGTGGTTCAGATACCGTATGTTTGTATTGAAATGTATACTATGTTGGTTTTATTTTCTTTCGGTAATTTGTTGTCGCGTCGATTTTGATTGAGCGATGTTGGTTTTCATATTATTTGTTGTTCATCATAAATGAATCGTTGTTTTTACTTTGGTCATGATGTTAATAATTGGATTGTGGATATTACTTTGTCCATTTTAAATGAGCTATTGCTGTTACTTGGTTCATGGTAAATGAGTAGTTATTGCTGCGGTTTCATGTTTGAATTCGGTCTATAGACATTGCATAGCAGCGAATATTTTATGGAGAAATCTTTACTAGATAATGCATTGGTTGGTTTTGTTTTACTGCACTTGTTTTCAAGTGTCATGTATTGGATCATGACTTCAGAAGTTCAAATTGATATTAACTTTCGAAGCTCGCATGGATTCATATAGAGCTAAATTTGGTTTGCTTTCAACTTTGTGTAGTTTGGCCTTGTGGTCTGCTCTTAAGCTTTCTAAAAAATAAGCACTCACTTGTTTGGATGTGGTTTAATTGTTTTGTATAATGCCACCCCCATTCGATAATAATGTATCCCAACTCCCTCAAATGTAATAATATTATAGTTTTTTTTTATGCTTTAACACCTCAAAAACATTTTTAAGAAATAAATTCTCGATTAGTCGAGTCACTTTCACCCATGTAAGTCGAGTGCTTTCAAGGCCTCGCCATCGACCTTTGATCACCATACACAACAATTTAAAGCTTAATCCTGGGCTTCCTTACAGTGATACCTATTTGATCAGTTACTTCTAATTGGTCACTTAGAAGACTAGCCCACTTTGCTAGTGCACACGCTTAAAATTCAATTTCAAACTTTGACTCGGTTCGAATACTTTTTCAAAACGAATTAAATCTTTGAAATCTAGCATTTCTTGGATTTTTGGATGATCATTAGCGAGGTGTACACCTTAAATAATGTATTATTCAACTTTTCGTTTTAATGCACTATTTTGAACAAAAGAATATTATAGGAATCAAGCATTCTGTGTGATATTTCTATCGTTCATTCAAATTTTTCTCCAAATGAAAAAGGTGTCGTCGAGATCTAGCATTTCGGTAATACCCCAATTAATTGGTTGTGAGGCCTACGTCTCATTTATCAAGTAATTGTCATTTCTCTCATTTTCAAATCCAATCTCATGTCCTCACATCTCGTACCTCAAATTATTTTCATACCTCATCTCACACTTCAAATCTTTTTCAAACATTTTCTCGATCAAACTTCGGAAGAAGAAGGTTCTTGGAGTCTAGCATTCCTTGAATTTTCGAGTGAATAATTCTCGAGGCACGCCCTTTGAGTTATTATTCATTCAATCTTTCGACCTTTTCAAATGTCTTTTTTTTCGATTCAAACTTCGAAAGAAGGAGATTCTTGGAGTCTAGCATTCCTTGAATTTTCGAGTGAATAGCTCTCGAGGCACGCCCTTTGGGTTGTTATTCACTCAACCTTTCGACTTTTTCAAACTCAAACATCTTCCAACGTTCTCCTAAGTCGAGTGCTCGTACGCATTCGCAACCCACACTTCACACA